CATTTAAATATAAGAAAAAAGCTTAATCTATTTTAATAACGATGATAACAAATTATGGCATATTTAGATCGATTATAACACATGAACATATGACATTTTTAATTCAAATTTGAAAAAACTTTCTCTATGTTTTATAAGCAAGTTATTTAGTACTTGGATTAGAAAGTGATAGGACCAGATTTTATTAAAATTTACCCTTTCTAAAAGGACCAAAACAGAATCCGAGTTTGGTCCAAAAGTGACCCGGCCCATATAAATAACAAAACAAAGTTACAGCCTACGTAGATAAACAAGAAGAGAAAACAAAAAAAAATTGCTTTTATTCAATATTGTTTTAAAATCTTCTTTAAATATCACCACGCACCAATGATTATATATTGATAGCATAAAAATATTTATAGTATTGTTAGCATATATGAATTATAAACTCATTAAATTTTCATTGTTTACTTAAAATGAAGTTAAATTTGTTACCTCTTATAGTCGAAGACGAATTCTCACCCTCTTTTTTTAATGGTACCAAACTCAGTGACTCAGCCACCGCATCACAAGTGATCATATCCCAATCATTTCTCGGTATTAAATACGTCATCTTCTCCTCCTCCAAAAACCTAACATTTATCCCTTGATCAGTGAAAAATGTTAACACAAATAATGATTTCTTTAATTGGATTGCGTTAACCACTGAACCCCGTTCCAAATGAGTAAAACATGCACCCACTGAGTCATGACTCAATATCTTAAGTTGTGGTGCCCAACTCGTGCATACAATTCCTCTTCCTTTTGTTCGTTCTTTTAAACCTTCTAATAAGTGAATCAATTCATCATCAGATTCTCCTCTTTTAGTTCTTAAAACCCAGAAAAAGGGGAACCTTGAAAACTCTAACCCGAATGGTAACCCAGTGAGTTCATTTTAGACTTTGTTTTGCCTTGCTCCAAAATGCCACATAAATCACTGTTCTTTTTCTTGTTCATCAAGCCATAGTTTTATCTCTCTCCACACTTCGATTTTTGTGTTGTCATCTTCATATGATGTCATCGAAAGTTGGCCCACCGGGATCATCGATTTTTGGTGAATATCCACTATACTTTTAGTCATTTTGGTTCAAATTCTGAACAACTCGATCCTCACAATTGTCATAGTTTTCAAAAGTCTTATACATACGAGAAATATAAAAAATGTTCTCTGCCTCACTGTCCTTGCAACCTTCGTAGATTCTCCAAACTTCAAATACCTTGAAAGCAACCCCAGTTTCAAACGGAACCCATTTTGGGGAAACGATGAATTCCTCTAGCATCTTCCGAATTTCATAGTCGTTGTTCAATCATGGTACAAGTCCGGTGAAACCCAGATACGTAGCGCTAGCAGTGAATATGCTAAAAAGCTCATTGGAATGTTGAATTTTGATGCAATTGAAGTAAAATTGAAAAGTACAAAATCAGGAGTTAAATCTTCAAGAAACTTAGCCATATGTGTTTTGAGTTCATCTTGAGCAAGTTTGAGGTTTATGACTTGCTCGTAAGGCAAATCATTGGTGGCTTATGCATTTTCTGATAACTTTTCGACGTGGGGCAGAGGAATTTTGACGAAACTTAAAGAAGGAGGCGATATTTGGGGAAGTTTTGGGAGATGATCATGTTTCTAGAAATAGAAATGAAGGAAATTGTGTAACCCTTTCGAGCTATGAGCTTTGAAAGCTCCAAATACGGAATCATATGGCCAAAAAGCTAGCCATGAAAATATTGCAATATTCATAATGACCAATGCAAGTGAATTCATAGCGTTTTAAAATCATTTTCTAGGTGGGAAGATATTAAGCACCCACGAGTGTGACAGTAAATCTAGCATGGTACTCCATAACTCTAACACAATCACATTAATCGACTTATATTTGACTCAGGGTTATATTTTGGATAAATTATGTTTTCATTAACTCTTACCTATTTTTGCCTTATTGATTTTTTTTAGAAATCCGACATATATTTTTAGCCAAAAAGTATAATCGCATACAAAGTCAATTATTTATAAGAGATGACCAAGGAGCGTACCACACACATGGTCAAACTTGATTTATTTAATACTCCATAAAATAATCGAGGTGTACATGAATTGATCTGAAATCACAATTATTGAAAGGTGTATGAAAACCCAAGTGTTTCTTCCCATTTCATGCTTTAATCTTTTCATAATTTTGAAGAAAACTTAACAAATTCTCCACATAATTATTTTGCCTTTCCTTGTCACAGAAAAGATCTTTCATCTCTTTAATCTTTTCTTGATAAATAAAACCCTCTTCTTTAACGAGTACCAAATTCAGTGACTTAGCCACTGAGTCACAAGTGAACGACCCGTCTTGATCATTTCTCGGTATCGAATACGCCATCTCCTTCTCCTCCAAAAGCCTAGCATTTATCCCTTGATCAGCCAAAAATGTTAAGAGAACCAATGATTTCTCAAATTGTATTGCCTCGACTACTGAACTCCATCCTGAATGAGTCAAAAATCCACCCACTGAGTCATGACTCAGTATCTTGAGTTGTGGCGCCCAACTAGTGCACACTATTCCTCTTCCCTTCGTTCGTTCTTCGAAACCTTCAGGTAATTGAATCAATTCATCATCGGATTCCCCTCTTTTAGTTCTTAAAACCCAAAAGAATGGCAACCCAGAAAGCTCTAACCCGAGTGATAACTCAGTGAGTTCATTTTGACTTGGTTTCGCCTCGCTACCAAATGCCACGTAAATCACCTTCCCCTTCTCTTGCTCATCAAGCCACAGTTTTATCTCTCTCCATGCATCGATTTTCGTGTTGTCATCTTCATACGTTGTTGTCGAAAGTTGGCCTACCGGAAAAACCGGCTTCCGGTGGATATCTCCGACAACTTTCAACCATTCCGGTTCAAATTCCGAACAGCTCCTCACAAGCAAAAAATCAGAGTGTTCAGCAGCTTTATAGATACGAAAAATATCAGAAACGTTCTCTTCCTCTCCCTTCATGGAAGCTTCGAAGATTCTCAAAACTTCGAAAAGCTTGAAAGCAACGGTGGTTTCAAACGACACCCATTTTGGGGGAACGGTGTATTCCTCTGGCGTCTTCCGAATTTCATAATCATTGTTCAATCCCGGCTCAGGTCCGACGAAACCTAGAACCGCAGCGATGAATATGCTGAAGTAACCTGTCGGAATGTTGAATTTTGAAGCAATTGAAGGAATCCAATAAGAAGCAAAATCAAATAGTATAAAATCAATATCTGAATCTTCGAGAAACTTAGCCATTGATTCTTTGAGTGCATCATGAGCAAGTTTGAGATACTTCACTTGCTCATAAGGTAAATCAATGGTGGCTTCTGCATTTTCCGGTAACTTTTCCACATGGGGCATTGGAAGTTTGACGAAATTTAAAAAGGGAGTAAGATTTGGTGGAAGTTTTGGGAGACGATCAATGTTTCTAGGAGTCGAAATAAATGAAATTTTATGACCCTTTTGAGCTATAAGCTTTGATAGCTCTAAATACGGAATCATATGACCAAAAGCTAGCCATGGAAATACTGCAATATGCAATTTTTTGCTGTTTTCCGCCATTTTTGTATGCTATGTAGAGCTCTGTTTCATGGACGTTATATATTCATGAATCTCAAGATTAGTCCAATTATTAAGATTAGAAAGAATTATTTTTCAATTCCCAATTGTATTTTTTTATTCTTATATTGTCTTTTTGAATCGAATCGTATCAAAAATTTTAATATATAGTTGGTTGATTTTTCCAAGAAAAAGATTTTAAAATGTTATCAATCTACGTGCATTTTGAGTGTCTTTTTAGTAAGGCAAAAGGGTCAAAGTTGTCCAATGTGAAATAGATTATTTATATCTTTCGTTATATTTTGGAATAAAAATATCTTGCTGTTATTCCAAGATATTACAAATACTCTCAAGAGTTAATAGACTAATTTTTTTGTGATGTGCTGTCATATAGGACTAATCCTTTCACCTATTCGTCCCCAACTCTTGAAGATATTTGTGGTTTCTTGAAATAACGATGAGACGTCTTTGATCCCCCAAAATATAAACGAGGATATAAATGATCTATTTCGTATTATTCAGAGAAAATTTTGACCTTTTCCGACATATTTATAACAAAACAGAAAATTTCTATTTTGGTGTGTTGCACCTTATAAATATGGGGGTCAAAGATATTTTCTGCACAATAAGATGAGTTATCAAACTTTTTGGAATATCAAATTTGTTTTGGCAAAAACGAACTGGAAATTTGCAAGACATCAATCACTGGCCAACTTTTTGTTACAAAGTGGAGAAACTCAGACCATATCAGAGATGGAAGCAAGTCATATGGAGTTTTCCACCAGTTGGCTATATAAAAATTACTCCCTCCGTACCATTTTATGTGATATCATTTCCTTTTTTGTCAATTCCAAAAACAATGTCACATTTTCTTATATGGTAAGTATTTAAAGGTACAATTCCTCTTTTACCCTTGTTAGTTCCACTTAATCTTAAAGTTAGTAGTACTTCAATACATTTATGAGGAGAGAGAAAAGTGAGTCTATTTTTTAATATGACTATTTTTTGAAGGGACAATTTGGTAAAGATTTCAAACTCTTCATTTATTTCTTAAACTCCGTGTCCGATCAAATGTTGTCACATAAAATAGGACGGAGAGAGTAATAAAGATGGTAGCTATTTGCATGAAACTGGAAAGGCTGGCATTGGTGGAATTGTAAGAGATAGTTGGGAGACTTGATCATGGCTTTTTCCATTTCTGTCAACTGTAATAATAGTAACATGGCTGAGTCTATGGCAGCTGAGTTTGGTGTAAAATGGTGCTATCATCATGGGTACACTGATTCTAACACAATCACATTTATGAACTTATACTTGACTATAGCACGTAAATCTAGCATTAGTACCATTTTTGCCTTATTATGTTTTTTTAGAAATGTGACATATATTTTTAGCCAAAAAGTGTAACCCCACACAAAATCATTTATTTATAAGAGAGGGGCCAAGGAGCGCACCACACACATGGTCAAACTTGATTTATTTAATACTTCATAAAATAATTGACGTGTACATGAATTAATCTGAAATCACAATTAAGGTGTATGAAAACCCAAGTGTTTCTTCCCATTTCATGCTTTAATCTTTTCATAATTTTGAAGAAAACTTAAAAAATTCTCCACATAATTATTTTGCCTTTCCTTGTCACAGAAAAGATCTTTCATCTCTTTAATCTTTTCTCGATAAATAAAACCCTCTTTTTTAACGAGTACCAAATTCAATGACTCAGCCACTGAGTCACGAGTGAACGACCCGTCTTGATCATTTCTCGGTATCGAATATGCCATCTCCTTCTCCTCCAAAAGCCTAGCATTTATCCCTTGATCAGCCAAAAATGTTAAGAGAACCAATGATTTCTCAAATTGTATTGCCTCGACTACTGAACTCCATCCTGAATGAGTCAAAAATCCACCCACTGAGTCATGACTAAGTATCTTGAGTTGTGGTGCCCAACTCGTGCACACTATTCCTCTTCCCTTTGTTCGTTCTTCGAAACCTTCTGGTAATTGAATCAATTCATCATCGGATTCCCCTCTTTTAGTTCTTAAAACCCAAAAGAATGGCAACCCAGAAAGCTCTAACCCGAGTGATAACTCAGTAAGTTCATTTTGACTCGGTTTTGCCTCGCTACCAAATGCAACGTAAATAACTTTCCCCTTTTCTTGCTTATCAAGCCATAGTTTTATCTCTCTCCATGCATCGATCTTCGTGCTGTCATCTTCATACGGAGTTGTCGGAAGTTGACCCACCGGAATAACCGGTTTCCGGTGAATATCTCCGACAACTTTCAACCATTCTGGTTCAAATTCTGAACAGCTCCTCACAAGCAAAAAATCACAGTTTTCAACAGATTTATAGTAACGAATAATATCAGCAATGTTCTCTTCCTCTCCTTTCATGGAAGCTTCGAAGATTCTCGAAACTTCAAAAAACTTGAAAGCAACTGTGGTTTCAAACGGAACCCATTTTGGGGTAACAGTGTATTCCTCCGGCGTCATTCGAATTTCATAATCATTGTTCAATCCCGGCACAGGTCCGGTGAAACCCAGAAACGCAGCGATGAATATGCTGAAATATCCGGACGGAATGTTGAATTTTGAAGCAATTGAAGGAACCCAATAAGAAGTAAAATCAAATAGTATAAAATCAATATCTGAATCTTCGAGAAACTTAGCCATGGATTCTTCGAGTGCATCTTGAGCAAGTTTGAGGTACTTGACTTGCTCATAAGGTAAATCAATGGTGGCTTCTGCATTTTCCGGTAACTTTTCCACGTGGGGCATCGGAAGTTTGACGAAATTGAAAAAGGGAGTAAGATTTGATGGAAGTTTTGGGAGACGATCAATGTTTCTAGGAGTCGAAATAAATGAAATTTTATGACCCTTTTGAGCTATAAGCTTTGATAGCTCTAAATACGGAATCATATGACCAAAAGCTAGCCATGGAAATAATGCAATATGCAATTTTTTGCCGTTTTCCGCCATTTTTGTATGATATGTAGAGCTCTGATTCATGGACTTCATAAATTCATGAATCTCAAGATTAGTCCAATTGTTAAGATTAGAAAGAATTATTTTTCAACTCCCAATTGTATTTTTTTATTCTTATATTGTGTTATCGAATCGAATAGTATCAAATTATTTTAATATATAGTTGGTGATTTTTCCAAGAAAAACGATTTTAAAATGCTACTATCAATCTACTTGCATTTTGAGGGTCAAAGTTCAAAGTTCCCACTGTGAAATAGATCATTTAATATATATCTTTTATTATATTTTTAGATAAAAATATTCGTTATTATTCCAAGATATTATAAATATTCTCAAGAGTTAATAAACTAATTTTTTTGTGATGTGCTGTCATATAGGACTAATTCTTTCACCTAAGCGTTTCCAACTCTTAAAGATATTTGTGGTCTCTTGAAATAACGACGAGGCATCTTTGATCCCAAAATATAATCGAAGATATAAATGATCTATTTCGTATAATTCAAAGATAATTTTAACCTTTTTCCGACATATTTATAACAAAACAGAAAATTTCTTTTTTGGTGTGTTGTAACTTGTAAATTGGTCATGAAAGCATCGAGTTTGCTTTATTTGGAAAAAAATAATCCATAATGGTCAATAATGCACGCAAGATTTTAAAATCATTTAGTGGGTGGAAAATACAATCAACGATCAATATAAAATTATATCCACTTCAATTATTCTATAAGGACAAATATTTAAATATAGATATTCCAATGGGCTAATTAATTGGACTTTTCTTGAAATTGATAAATATATAATGTTTGGCTAGTTGCTAATTAAAATACCTACCTCTAATAGCATCACACACAAAAAAAAAATGACGGAAAATAGCAAAAAGTTGCATATTGCAGTATTTCCATGGCTAGCTTTTGGTCATATGATTCCGTATTTAGAGCTTTCAAAGCTCATAGCTCGTAAGGGTCACAAAATTTCATTCATTTCTACTCCAAAAAATATTGATCGTCTCCCAAAACTTCCACCAAATTTCGCCCCCTTCATAAATTTCGTCAAAATTCCTCTGCCCCACGTTGAAAAGTTACCGAAAAATGCAGAAGCCACTATTGATTTGCCTTATGAGCAAGTAAAGTACCTCAAAATTGCTCAAGATGGACTCAAAGAACCCATAGCTAAGTTTCTCGAAGATTCGGCTCCTGATTTTATAATCTTCGATTTTGCTTCTTATTGGATTCCTTCCATTGCTTCAAAATTCAACATTCCGACCGGTTATTTTAGCATATTCATCGCTGCGGTTCTAGGTTTCACCGGACCTGAGCCAGGATTGAACAATGATTATGAAATTCGGAAGACGCCGGAGGAATACACCGTTCCCCCAAAATGGGTGCCATTTGAAACCACCGTTGCTTTCAAGCTTTTCGAAGTTTTGAGAATCTTCGAAGCGTCCATGAAAGGAGAGGAAGAGAACGTTTCTGATATTATTCGTTATTATAAATCTGTTGAAAACTGTGATTTTTTGCTTGTGAGGAGCTGTTCAGAATTTGAACCAGAATGGTTGAAAGTTGTCGGAGATATTCACCGGAAACTAGTTTTTCCGGTGGGTCAACTTCCGACAACTCCGTATGAAGATGACAGCACAAAAATTGATGCATGGAGAGAGATAAAACTATGGCTTGATGAGCAAGAAAAGGGGAAAGTGATTTACGTGGCATTTGGTAGTGAGGCGAAACCGAGTCAAAACGAACTCACTGAGTTATCACTTGGGCTAGAGCTTTCCGGGTTACCATTTTTTTGGGTATTAAGAACTAAAAGAGGGGAATCCGATGATGAATTAATTCAATTGCCAGAAGGGTTCAAAGATCGAACAAAGGGAAGGGGGATTGTGTGCACGAGTTGGGTCCCACAACTTAAGATACTGAGTCATCACTCAGTGGGTGGATTTTTGACTCATTCGGGATGGAGTTCAGTAGTTGAGGCAATACAATTTGAGAAGCCATTGGTTCTTTTAACATTTTTGGCCGATCAAGGAATAAATGCTAGGTTATTAGAGGAGAAGAAGATGGCGTACTCGATACCGAGAGATGATCGTGATGGGTCGTTCACTCGTGACTCGGTGGCTGAGTCACTAAATTTGGTACTTATTGAAAAAAAGGGTGAGATTTATCGAAAAAAGATTAAAGAGGCGAAAAATCTTTTTTGTGATGAGAGAAGACAAAATGATTATGTGGAGAGTTTATTAAATTATCTTCAAAATTATAAAAAAGACTAAAATATAAATTGGAAGAAAAATAACCTGCTTTTTCTTTTACGTAACAAACAAAACGAAATATATTGTAAAAGTGCCAATGCTGCTTTGATTTTAATTTGTGGAATGGTTTAATTTATGTACCATTATGTAATGATTATCTATGTGATGAATAATACTTTGATAAAATAATGTAATATAAGTATTGTTAGTTGTTGAGGTTATTTTTTTGCATTTAGCTAACGGTGAAATACATAAATAATCTCTTAAACTTGTCAGCAAAGTTAATTTGAACACTAAAAATTATGATATATTTTAATTGAATATAACGTAGGAAAATATGATATTTCTGATTCAAATATTAAAAAACTTTTTGCGCAGTTTATAGTGCTTGTTATATAAATAAATTAAACACTAAAAATATGTAGTATCGTTTATTTATATACATAAATAAATAAAATTTAATAAGCCACAAAAATTTTCAAACTATACGGAAAGGTATTACATGTTTCATGTTTTTGGGTGTCACCATCAAGTAATACATACAAGGAGACAATTCAAATCTCAAAATAAACAGACATTAGTAATTTCTCTTTTATGTATCTATGTATTTATAAGCAGAGTATTTGGTACTTGCATTAGAGAGTAATGGTAGATTTTGAGTTGCATGAAAAAAGCTTGGACAATATCGTTATATATAGTAGCTTTTGAGTTGTATTTACTTTTCTCTCTTATTTCAACGTGAAATTCACCTAAGATGTCAGGTACACCTCATTTTAAGAACTTTGTCAACTCTACTTAAATCTTGTCCTTCCTTCAAACCCACTCTTTCATCCTAACCAAATAGTAGAATCTACCTATCATCTATTCTTTTTTCTGCAAATCACCCCTTCTCAAAAATCCAATAAGGCTATGCCCACACAAGTTAACTTCAAGGTATCCAATTAGTTCTCAAGTAATTTTTTCAGATTTTAGGTGCGACCTTCAGAAGTTTGTTTTGACATCTATCCTTTAATAGTTATGTGTCCTAATTTTTGAGTTTTAGTTCAAGGTAGGATAGGACGAGATTGACAAAGGTTGTGGGGAGCCTTCCCCGGGGACTAATAATTAGATTCATTTTAATATTTGAGTTTAAGCTTCTAGTTTGAAGTAAGTCTATCAGTTGTTTTGACACTTAGTAGCTAAAGCATACTTTAATTTTTGGCTTAAATCATATTCTTTACTAGCCGTGACTAATAGTAAGCACTCATGAGTATCATAATTTTAGTACAATCGTTTGATTGACTTATATTTAACTTAGATTAATATTTTAATTTGGATAAATTATTCTCACATTAACTCTTACCTATTTTTGCATTGTTGATTTGTTTAGAAATGCGACTAATATGTATTTTGTTTGTATAATACATAAAAAAGAAAAAGAAGAATATTTTATTCGTGGAGATAATTGATACCCAATAAAATAATCGAGATATATATAAATTGATCTGAAATCACAATTATTGAGGGAATAATTAAGCAAAATGGTCGCTCAACCATCTTATTTAAAGAAAATTGGCCCAAATTTACCACTTCCTCTTCTTCCTCGCACTTTAGCTATTAATGACTTCTTCTTCCTTTTCTCGTTGTTGCTTTCAATCTTCCTTCATTATATTTTTTTTATTTGGTAATAAATAGAGGTCTTAAATTGAACAGACACATATGTTCGTGAAAGAATATGACTGTTATGAAAAATTATTTGTTTATGAAAGAACACGACCTTTATGAAAAGTGACTTGTTAATGAAAGAACATGACTCTTATGAAATGTCATATATTCATGAAATAACACGACTCTTATGAAAAGTCATATATTCATGAAAGAACATGACTCTTATGAAAAGTCATCTCTTAAGTTCTATAAATATAACAACTCTCTTGAAGTAGCCTAAGAAAAATTTGTGTGTATAAACAAAGGTGTCACGACCCAAAAATGACACTCGTCTTATTCCTCCAAGACAAATCAACCTAAAACCCAACTGATACGGTGAATGCAGAAGTAAAATGAGAATACAAGTTTAATACTACAAAATAGTGCGGAAAACAAAGTCAACTTAATTAAACCCCCAAAATCTGGTTATCACGTGTACAATCCTCTAAAGTATTACAATTGAATTAAAAGAAAAATACAAGTCTCAAATGACATTGTTTCTAGAATTGAACAAGATCATAACTAAGGAGAAAGAAGTTCAGCTGAGATTAAAACAACTATCTCACAAACCTCCACAAGAAACCAGAGACAAGAAGAGAAGAGAAATAGTATCACAAAGATCCGGGCTAGTAACCTACAAAAATGTAGAAGCAAGGAGTGAGTACCAAACCACACGGTACTCAGCAAGCAAACTTCTAAACACAAGCTAAGGGAATAGAACGGGTACTCCTTACATTCCAACTGAACCTCCACAACTATAACCTACATAAAAATCGCTCAACCTAAAAACTCACAATTCACAAAGCACACAGCTCAACAACAACACCCTAACAATTTCATGTTCTCAACAATAGACTCAATATTTATCAATCACAACATCCACAAAAAGGCACTCACAAGATCAACAACATACAAGATCAAGTTCACCAATGATAAAGATGTGCAATGCAATGTCAAGTATAGGTTTCCATGTCTGACCTAAAGATACACACCCGATCTCTCTCAGTGTGGGACCCATGGGGGACATATTTGTCCATGCATCCGTCGCGGTGGGTGACACGTCCCTCGAAATATAGTATCTGTCGCGGGGCGCGACACGTCCCTCGAAATATAGTATCTGTCACGGTGCGCGACACGTCCCTCGAAATGATACATCCTCTTTAATTTCTTATTCTTTCTCAATTCACATAACACTTGTCACAACCATGTCTCAGAACAATACAAATGACATATTCACACAAATAATTAGGAGATGACCATTTTCATAACATTGCACAATTCACAACAACACAATCGTGATACAACATGAACAATGAATCAATAAGCCTTTCAAAAACCATTCTCAACACATCACACACCAACAATTAATCACATTTGCCTTTTGTTACCCTTTTTCATCATTAGAATTATTCAATATGGACAAGTAAACTCATCACCAAGTCCCATTACTCTCCAACACATACCACAAGAAAATACACGATTCCATACACTTAACAAGAGTTTAGAAATCCACTTGCCTCAAATGGTCAAACAATCACTCTGAAACTTGAGCCTTCCCCTTTCGTTGGACTTCTAGATCAATTCAATCTATTCAAATAAATAATCACAATAAGATTTTGAAACTAACAACAACCATATTGCTATATGTATAGCTTAGACCCAAAACTCACCCGAATTTATAATAAAGTTTCTAAATCTTGATTCTAACCAATAACACAAATCTCATATTTCCTGAACTTTAAGTCTAGGGTTAAATTTCAACTACTCCAAATAACATAACTCAAATGTCATTCGTATAATATCATACACCTAATATTTAATTACTTAACTCACTATTTCAAACTTGTATCAAATGTAAAAATCATGAAAAGAAACTACGAAATCGAAATCAACGGAAAAGTAGAAATAACACGAAGCACCCAATCCAGCAGGGTCAAATTTCCAGCCACCATCAATTCCTCACGTCTTAGTCCATTAACTATGGGCCAAGTGATATAAGCTATTACATAAATTATCAATTTAGTATATTAACTATCAACTAAATAAAATAATTATTTAATAAATATCCATCAATTAAATAAACGTAATTATCAAATAGTTTAAATTTTTCAAACCAACTTCACCGACTGATCATAAATGACTCGGAACAACTATCGGGAGGGATAAAACGGTAATTTTTATGATAATTTCTAAAAAAAATATTTAGGATCATTACAAAAGGGCTTTGTTATATTCTTGACGATAATTGTTTGTTTTTACCTCAATATGTATATGGACAATATCTTTTTAAAGAAAGTGATTACATGCCTCAAAACCACCTTCTTCTTCAATTATATTTCCTATTATTTTTCTAACACATTCTTCTTTCGTGATCAACCAATTACCATTAAAGTTTTAAAGCTTGATTTAAACTTTGACGTATCGCAAACATGAATAGTTTCGAGTGAATTAGAAATAAAAAAACTCAAAATATTTAAGCGGATTTCATATCTAAAATTTAGGACTATTTAGAGAAAAAATTGAGTTGGTCGGAATTAAATAGAAAAAAGTAAAATTACTTGCAATAAACTCATCTTTGCCTCCGAAATCACCTCCTTCATCATAATCCATATCCTCTTTAACTATTTCTCATCCTTTTCCTTCTTCTTTAATTAGCCTAATAAATATTCGAAAAAGATTAGGTTAATAAATAGTTAGTCTATACTACATCTATAGTTAAGTTTAGGGGTGGGCATAAATACTGGAAAACCGAATCGAACCGAACTAATTCGGTTCTTTGGTTTTTCGCTTCGATCGGTGTCGATGTTATTTTTTCGAAAGTTCGGTTCTTCGGTTCGGTGTAAGGGTCTCAAAACTTCGGTGTACCGAAGAACCAAACTTTTATTTTAAAAAAATAAAAATAATAATAATAAAATAAAAATAAATAAATAAATATATATATATATATATATATATAATAATAATAATAAATAATAAATAATAAATAATAATAATAATAATAATAATACTCCCTCCATCCCATTTTATGTGGCAATATTTGACCGGGCACGGAGTTTAAGAAATAAATGAAGACTTTGAAATATTTACCAAATTGCCCTTTAAAAAGTAGACTATTTTTTCTCTCTCCTTATAAATGTATTGGAGTATTATTTTAAGATTAAGTAGGATCAATAAGGATAAAAGAGGAATTGTACCTTTATAATATTTATTTAATTTGTCAGTACTATTGTCCTTTGGTGGTTGTCCCAATAAATTGAAATAGTATTATTGTACTAATATTTATTTAATTTGTCCTTTGGTTCTCTCTATTATTGTCCTTTGGTGGTTGTCCCAATAAATTGAAATAGTATTATTGTACTAATATTTATTTAATTTGTCAGTACTATTTTTTGCTAATATGTAAGTAATTTCATTATTAAATTTTAGAAAAAAAGTTGATATATTCTTCAACTTTGTTAAAAAGTGACTCATTTAATGGAAGTAAAAATAATTAGTTTATATACTAAACATAGAAAAATAAGTAAAAAAAGTTCAATTTCACTTATTTCAACCACCCTAAATCTTATTTATAGTGTAGAGTTGTTGGGAAATAATACACAAAAATGGGGGAACAAAGCAAAAAATTGCATATTGCAGTATTTCCATGGCTAGCTTTTGGTCATATGATTCCGTATTTTGAGCTTTCAAAGCTCATAGCTCAGAAGGGTCACAAAATTTCTTTCATTTCTACTCCTAGAAATATCGATCGTCTTCCAAAACTTCCACCAAATCTCGCCCCCTTCTTGAATTTCGTCAAAATTCCTCTGCCCCACATTGAAAATTTACCGAAAAATGCAGAAGCCACTATTGATTTACCTTATGAGCAAGTAGCGTACCTCAAAATTGCTCAAGATGGACACAAAGAACCCATAGCTAAGTTCCTCGAAGATTCAGCTCCTGATTGTATATTCTTCGATTTTGCTTCTTACTGGATTCCTTCAATTGCTTCAAAATTCAACATTCCAACGGCCTATTTCACCATTTCCATCGCTGCGTCTATGGGTTTCATGGGACCCGTGCCGGGATTGAACAATGATTATGAAATTCGAATGAAGCCTGAGGAATACACAGTTACCCCAAAATGGGTTCCATTTGAAACCACCGTTGCTTTCAAGTTTTTCGAAATTTCGAGAATCTTTGAAGCTTCCGTGAAGGGTGATGAAGAGAATGTTTCTGATATTTTTCGTATTTATAAAGCTATCGAACACTCTGATTTTTTGCTTGTGAGGAGTTGTTCGGAATTTGAACCAGAATGGTTGAAAGTTGTCGGAGATATTCACCGGAAACCGGTTTTCCCGGTGGGCCAACTTCCGAAAACGACTTATGAAGATGACAACACGAAGATCGATGCATGGACAGAGATAAAACTATGGCTTGATGAGCAAGAAAAGGGGAAAGTGATTTACGTGGCATTTGGTAGCGAGGCAAAACCAAGTCAAAACGAACTCATTGAGTTATCACTCGGGTTAGAGCTTTCCGGGTTGCCATTTTTTTGGGTTTTGATAAATAAAAGAGGAGAATCCGATGATGAATTAATTCAATTACCAGAAGGTTTTGAAGAACGAACAAAGGGAAGGGGTATTGTGTGCACGAGTTGGGCCCCACAACTTAAGATACTAAGTCATGACTCAGTGGGTGGATTTTTTACTCATTCGGGATGGAGTTCGGTAGTTGAAGCAATACAATTCGAGAAGCCATTGGTTCTTTTAACATTTTCGTCTGATCAAGGGATAAATGCTACACTACTGGAGGAGAAGAAGATGGCGTATTTGATTCCAAGAGATGATCGTGATGGGTCGTTCACTCGTGACTCGGTGGCTGAGTCAGTGAGTCTAGTACTTGTTGAAAAACAGGGTGAAATTTATCGGGAAAAGATTAAAGAGGCGAAAAATATCTTTTGTGACGAAAGAAGGCAAGATAATTATGTGGAAAATATATTAAGTTATGTTCAAAATTATAAAAAGACTAAAATATGAAATGGGAAGAAAAACTTGAGTTTAAACGAACCTTTAATTAGTTGTAATTTCTGGTTAATTTATGTACACTTATTTTATATGGTATTAATTATTTGCACCAATAAGGATTTTAATTTTTATTTGAAAGGTGGTTTAACTTATGTACCAGCTATGCAATATTTGTAATGCAAGAATTGCTTATCGTATCTTTTGTTTATACATATTAAATTCAATAAGCTGCAAAATCTCAAACCTTATGAAAAGATATTACTCGTGTTTCATGTTATTGTGTGTCATCATCGATCAATACCTATGGAAATTGAAAGTTAGAAACTAGTTCAAAATCTCAAAATAAACATATAAACATTAGTCATTTCGTAATAAAATACTTGATCTTTAGCTTAAATTGAGAAAATGTGACTATATAACGAAGTCACAACCTCACATAGATAAACAAGAAGAGACAACATAATTTTTTTCAATATTATTTTCTAATCTTCTTGAATAAAATAAGGTAGACATGATCGTGCTCATATGTCTTATAATGAACAATTGTCAAACATCGAGTGAGAAATGAAAAAAAAAAAATAGGCCTCGAAATGTTTAGGCATATCAAAAGTCAAAGTAAAGAGTGTGTGCTATTACATATTAAAATATATAGATAGTGTAAAAATACTTGTAGTATTGTTAGCATATATAAGTTAAACTCATTAAATTTCCATTGTTTACCTGAAATGAAGTTTAATTCGTTGCCTCTTTATATTCGAAGATGGATTCGAAATTTGAATTTGATAACCAAACGAATTATACTTTTTAAGTTATGGATTCATATATTTTCATGACCTAACTCCACGTATTATCCACTTTTGGCTTAGTTCTACACCAAGTTTTTCATGATACTCAAATTACTTTACTGATCACTAAGTCAAGATTTTTCTATTTAGGCTTTTATAAGTAGAGATATTCAATATTATATCGATGAGAAATAGTAATGCGAAAGTTGACTTGAATAGTTGTGCTAAAAAATTACTGTCATATTAAGCTTAAGAAAGATACACCCCATATATGTCACATGACATATCAAATGGTCTCAAACTATTGTATGTAGGAGCATGAAACTCTTAACAAAAAGTCGAGAGAAGTGCTAAAAACATTCAAAAACTTGGTGAGAATTTAAGAGTGTATTTCACTCATGTTACAAAATTGGGGTATATTTAAGTTCAATAAGTCAAGTATATCAGTGTTTTTAAGACTATCAATTGTTTAGAGATAAATTTAATAATTTGCACCGCTAATTTAGAAATGTTTTCAGTACTTCATATATTATAAAATTAATAATTCATGCCGATTTAGGAGTGTTTTTATGGTTTTGTGTTCTTTTTCTTCATTGTTCTTAAAAAAACCAAAAAATAATATCGATTAAGGAGGATTTTGAAGACACTATATGTTTTATTTTAATGTCATATGTAAATGCATAAAATGTACAATAATGCACTATGTAGTAGGAGATTTGAATCGAGAAGTAATTTTGATTATTTTCGTAATAATATTGGATGTTTTTAACATTTATAGTGCAAGTTATTTATTTTAGAAAATTAGGTTGCAACCAAAATCTAATTATCATATATTTTTTGTTGAAAAAATAGGTTTCACTAGCGAATGACTTTTGCGGCCATAGTCGTCACTAAAAATTACTCATAACCTTTAGTGGCAATATTTTTAGATTTTGTGGCGACCGCTAAAGGTCAAGTTCTTTTTGCACACTAAAAATTTAGGTAGTTAACTTTTGAGGGTATTTGTGGTCTCTTATAATAACGGCGGGACATTTTTTATTCCAAAATGTAATGAAGAATATAAATGATCTATTTCACATACTATAAAGTATTTTTGACCCTTTTCCATTTTTTATATTTTTAGTCTATTAGAAGTGATCATCTATTTTCCAAATAAGCAAAAAGTAAAAAGTGAACACGGAAAGTATACACACTTGAATGATTTGATAAGGAGAAATATATATAAATGGCCCAATTGGATTTTTGACTCATTCGGGATGGAGTTCAATTGTTGAAGCAATACAATTTTAGAAGTCATTGGTTCTGTTAACATTTTTGGCCGATCAAGGGCTAAATGCTAGGTTGTTGGAAGAGAAGAAGATGGCGTATTCAATACCAAGAGATGATCGTGATGGGTCGTTCACTTGTGACTCGGTGGCTGAGTCATTGAGTTTGGTACTTGTTGAAAAAGAAGGTGAGATTTATCGAAAAAGATTAAAGAGGCGAAAAATCTTTTTTGTAACGAGACAAAACAAAATAATTATGTGGAAAATTTATTAAGTTATCTTCAAAATTATAAAAAGACTAAAATATGAAATGGGAGAAAAAACTTTTGAGTTTAATTGCACCTTTAAATAATTGTAATTTCAAGTTAATTGATTATCTGCACTAATAAGGACTTTTAATTTTTATTTGAAGGGTGGTTTAATTTATGTACTAGCTATGCAATATTTATAATGTAAGAATTACCTATGTGATGAATAATAGTTTGAATGTTTGATGAATATTTATGTAGTGCGTCACTCTTTACAAGGCTAGCTTTTATAATCTTTTATTTTGCTTCTTACTGGTTCCTTCAATTTTTTCGAAATTCAATATTCCATCGTGTTATTTCAGCATATTCATCGCCGTATTTCTGGGTTTCGTCGGACCTATGCCGGGATTGAACAATGATTATGAAAATACTGACATATGTATTTTTTTTTCTGTTTTACGCCATTTTTGTGTGTTTTGTAGAGCTCTATTTCATGATCTAAGGTCAGAATTAATTATTTTTTAAAAATTCTGGCTTGATTACTATATTATTATATTGGTTTTGTCAAATCAGTTTAGTATGTACATTTATATTGATGGTTGGTTGATTGTTTGCCACTTAGAAAATGCTATTAAAAATCTCATATATTCACTTGCATTTTGAGTGTTCTTTTAGGATGTAACATAGTAATGTTTTATAATGTTTCATATTGTATTGTATTATATTATTTTTTATCGTTACATAATATCATATATCAATAATTTGAATAATAAACCTATAAGAAATGTAAGTTGTATGGTAGAGTTACTATGAATTTAAACGATGCAATACAATTAAATTTTAGATAACAATCAAATATGAAATTTAAACTAACAATATAATACAATAGATAACAATTAACAACCATCCCAACAAGGTGTTAGGAAGGTCAACTTATCATACATGCAATTAGGGTATCGGTCGGTTCGATTCGATTTATGTATTATCGGTTTGGTTTATTGATTTTTGGTTTTTAAATATTCTAAATCAATAACAAATTAATAATATATTCTTTATTGATTTTTGGTCATTCACAGTTTGATTTTTGGTTTATCCAATAAGAAAATGCTCATAAAATAAATATATGATTTCTCACTTCTCTAACAATTTGGCACGATACAGTGAGACAAACAAATCAGCTATAAATGCTTTGATATAGTGAAACAAGAAATATAAGAAATTGCATCAATAAGAGTAAGTGTAGTACAAAGGCTACAACAACATGTTACAACCAAAACATAATATGAAATTTCTGATGTAAAGTAGAAGTACTATGATGTGTGAAGTGTGTAGAACGTAGTGCAAAGTACTCATATAGTGTCTAGTTATGTTAAATTATTAATATTTAATATTTATGAAGGGTATAGTAGTAACTTATTATCGTCTTAATGGGTTATTGAGTAATACTAAAAACTGATAACTCAATAATTTTTTTAATAAAATCATTTAAAACCCGTTAACTCAATAACCCAATAACATATTTTTCAATTCGATTTATTGATCGATTCGAATTTTACATGCAACTACAACAACCCATTAATACAACCTTTAACGATTGTTACACTATCTTTACTCTTCCAACATTAGCTCTTTTTTTTTATTAGACTATATATAGACTTGTCCAATTCTTTGGGTGTAGAGTAGACACCAGGATAAAAATATTCTCCCACCTATATTCTATTATTGAGTTTTCTTTTTAATAAATTTTTGTTCGTTTCCGTACTTGTAGCCTTATACTAGAAGAACTTGTTGGTTATCTTAAAAAAAATGAAGAAGCCACTAATTCTTTTAACATTTTCGTCCGATCAAGGGATAAATTCTATGTTATTGGAGGAGAAGAAGATGGCGTATTTGATACCAAGAGATGATTGTGACAGATAGTTCACTCATGACTTGGTGGCTGAGTCAGTGAGTCTGGTACTTGTTGAAAAAAAGGGTGAGATTTATCGAGAAAAGATTAAAGAGGCAATTTTTTTTGTGACGAGCGAAGACAAGATAATTATATGGAGAATACATTCTTGCTCAAAAGCAACAATAACATATTATTGAAATTTTGAGACGGCCAAAAATAAAAATATGATACTAAATCCTAAGTCAAGGGCTTTAATTTACTATCGGGTTATCTGTTAACCCATTAAGAAAAAAATCTAAAACGGTTAAGAATCGATAATCTGATAATTAAGAAAATCAAAATCATTATAAAAATCGTTAAACCACTAAACCATTATCAATAAATCAATAAAAAAATTCGGTTCGAATTATCGATTTCGGTTCGATTTTGAACAATCATACTTAGCACAAATTATTAATTGCGTCCCTGAACTATTGATAATCTTAAAAACACTTCTCTACTTGACTAACTAAACTTAGATACATTTCAATCTGCCACATGACATATCAAATGGTCACGAGCTATTGTAGAAGCATGTGATTCTTAATAAAAAGCTGAGAGAAGTGTCGAAGATATCCTAAACATGGCGAGAATTTAGGAGTGTATTTCACTCATGTCGTAAGATTGGAGGTGTATTTAAGTTCAGTTAATCAAGTAAATGAGTGTTTTGAAGATTGTCCATAATTTGAAGATAAAACTAATAAGTCATACCGAGTTTAGAAGTGTTTTCAATATTTCATGTATTTTAAAATTGATCAACTATTTTCAGAAGTATAAGCACGTGAATAATTGATATAGATGGCCTAATTGTTATAAATTGTATCTCCAATTGCATCAATCACACACAAAAAAAACAGAGCTCTATACCACACACCAAAATGGCGGAAAACAGCAAAAAACTGCATATCGCAGTATTTCCATGGCTAGCTTTTGGTCATATGGTTCACCGGACCTGTACCGGGATCGAACAATGATTATGAAATTCGGACGACGCCGGAGGAATTCACTGTTCCCCCAAAATGGGTGCCGTTTGAAACCACAGTTGCTTACAAGCTTTTCGAAGTTTCGAAAATCTTCGAAGCTACCATTAAGGGTGAGGAAGAGAACGTTTCTGATTTGTTCCGCATATATAAATCTGTTGAAAACTGTGATTTTTTGCTTGTGAGAAGCTGTTCAGAATTTGAACCAGAATGGTTGAAACTTGTCGGAGATATCCACCGGAAACCGGTTTTTCCGGTGGGCCAACTTCCGACGACAATGTATGAAGATGATAACACGAAGATTGATGCATGGAGAGAGATAAAACAGTGGCTTGATGAGCAAGAAAAAGGGGAAAGTGATTTACGTTGCATTTGGTAGCGAAGGTAAAACCGAGTCAAAACGAACTCACCGAGTTGGCGTTCGGGTTAGAGCTCTCTGGGTTACCATTTTTCTGGGTTTTAAGAACTAAAAGAGGGGAATCTGATGATGAATTGATTCAACTACCAGAAGGGTTCGAAGATCGCACAAACGGAAGGGGAATTGTGTGCACGAGTTGGGCGCCACAACTTAAGATACTGAGTCATGACTCTGTCGGTGTATTTTTGACTCATTCAGGATGGAGTTCAGTAGTTGAAGCAATACAATTTGAGAAGCCATTGGTTCTTTTAACATTTTTGGCCGATCAAGGGCTAAATGCTAGGTTGTTGGAAGAGAAGAAGATGGCGTATTCAATACCAAGAGACGATCGTGACGGGTTGTTCAATCATGACTCGTTGGCTAAGTCACTGAGTTTGGTACTTGTTGAAAAAGAGGGTGAGATTTATCGAAAAAAGATTAAAGAGGCGAAAAATCTTTTTTGTGATGAGACACGACAAAATAATTATGTGGAAAATTTATTAAGTTATCTTCAAAATTATAAAAAGGCTAAAATATGAAATGGGAAGAAAAACTTGAGCTTAAATGCATTTTTAAATAAATGTAATGTTAGATTTTATGGGTAGTAATTATCTGCACCAATAAGGACTTTTAATTTTTCTTTGAAGGGTGGTTTAGTATATGTACCATGTATGCAATATTTGTAATGTAAGAATTTCATGTGTGATGAATAATATTAGACTTAAGTCATCAGCGCCCCTTTAAAGTTGTCCGCATAATTCACTTAGACACCTCAGCTAAGATTAGTACCTGTTGAACACTTTTATCAATTCAAAAATTGTTCCTATTAGGCATTTTTTGATAATCAGCAAAATATATGAAGAGTGTGTGATACACTTGCGGTGACGTGGCGAAACGGCTAATTAAAAAATAACATGTGGCACTAGGATGCGAAAATTATGAAGAAAAAAAATTGTTTAAAATTATTTCAAACACTTTTTATATCTAATATTTTTAAAAAGAAAAAGAACAAAATGAAAATGTCAACCTATTCTACCCAACCCCACCCCACCCTTACCCAACCCCCTTTCATCTTCATCTTCTTCCCAAAACACATTCTTTCTCAAATCACAAAACCTAATTCT